CTCATACAGAAAATCAAACACTGCGTGTTCTCACTCATAGATGGGTGTTGATCAATGAGAACACATGGACACAGGCAGGGGAGCATCACACACTGGGGTCTGTTGGAGGGGACTAAGAGAGGGACGGTGGGGTGTAGGGAGTTGGGGATGGATAACATGGGGAGAAATGCCAGATATGGGTGATAGGGATGGAGGCAGCAAGCCACATTGTCATATATGTACCTATGCAACAATCCTGCATGTTCTTCACATGTGCCCCAGAACCTAAAGTACAATTAAAAAAAAAAAAAGAACCTTAGTCATAATTTCACACATGTGAATATATATTGTTAAGGTAAGCTTCTAGGTCAAAATTTGTGTTCACTTAAATTACATTAGATATTTTAAAATACCTAATATCTACTACCCATAAATAATGTTGCAAATTATGTATCATTTGCATCTGCCATTATCTTTTTATGTTTGTGGTTGAAACTCACGTTTATATAAACAAATGCCAGATGTATTTCCTTTTCCATGATGTCTGTGATTTTATTATTTGCCATTTTTCCCCTGTTGAGTTTTTTGTCTTTTCCTGATTGTTTTATTGTGCTGGGGCATTTTCAGCAGACCTAAAATCAGCCCGAGCAGTGTTTTTAAAGCTCCCACATGACACTGACCTCTAGACAAGCCTGAAGCATACTGATTCATAGTGTAACTTTGTAATCATAAGTCTGAGAATTTTGAGGTCATATCATACTAGCTTGTTAGCATTGTTTATTTTTGACACTGTGATTCATGCTTTTCCCTGGTACAATGAGATCCAGAAAGAACTCTCCTGCTGAGTCTGGTTTCCTAGCAGGAATATGCCTATGTGATCAGGAAAATGTAAAGATTCCAAACCGAGACTTGATTTTGGCTCCCAGTAGATCCTGATCCAAGCAAGAAATGAAGTCCTGAAAGGACACTTACTGAGTGAAGAACAGGTGCCTGCACCTGACCTGTCCAGGCTGCTTCTTGTGACTTTGTCTGATGCATATCCTTTGATGCTATTGCTAAATTGTATCCTTATCTTGTGTTAAACCACATGTATTTAAGCACTGCTAAAAAAATTGTCTATTTTTCTCAGGCTTTTAAAAGATATTCTCTTTCTCTTTGGTTTTCAGCAGTTTTAATATCAAGGAGGTGTGAAAGGTTTTTTGTTTTGTTTTGTTTCTATGTTTATTCTGCTTGGGATTTGAAAGCCTTCTGGGCTTTGAGACTTGACATTTTTAATAGGTTGTGGAAAAATTTCCACCATTATTTCTTATAATACAGCTTTTACCTAAATTTTTTCTTCTCCCTTTATAGGGCTTCAATGTTTTACATGTTAGACCTTCTCATTATATCTCCTGTGTGTCTTACCCTCTCTTTTGTATTTTACTTCATTTTTGACTTTATTCCTGGACACTTTTTTCTGGTCAGGCTTCTACTTTACAATTTTTCTCCTCAGCTATGCCTAATCTGTGGTTAAACCTATACAATAAGATTTTAATTTTGATTCATACCTTTTGTTATTTCTAGACTTTTCTTTTAAAAGTAGTTTCTAGTTTCTGACAAAATTTAAAACTTTATTTTTTTTATCTACTTGAACATAGGAACAACTATTTTAAATTCTGTGCCTTATATCTCAATTATCTGGAATCCAAAAAGTCAATTCCCATTTTGTTGATTTTCTTGATGTTTCCTTGCATGGTTATTTTAATTTTAATGCCAGACATTGTTGATGAAAAATGGTGAAATAATTTGAGGCCTATAATTATTTTATATTCTTATAAAACTATCAATGAATCATGTGACAGCGGCTTGAGGAGGAACCAGTCTTTAAAGCTGTCCCTGAAGTGACAGCGGAGAGAACCAGGAAGCCCAAAAACCCCAGGCATAGAGATTGATCCTGCGAGAGAAGGGGTTTCATCATGGCAGATGACTTAAAGTCATTCTTATATAAAAAGTTACCAAGTGTTGAAGGGCTCCATGCTATTGTGTCAGTTAGAGATAGAGTACCTCTTATTAAAGTGGCCAATGATAATGCTCCAGAACATGCTTTGCAACCTGGTTTCTTATCTATTTGTGCTCTTGCAACAGACCAAGGGAGCAAACTTGGACTTACAAAAAATAAAAGTATCATCTGTTACTATAACACCTACCAGATGTTTCAATTTAATCATTTACCTTTGGTGGTGAGTTTCATAGCCAGTAGCACTGCCAATACAGGACTAATTGTCAGCCTAGAAAAGTAACTTGCTCTATTATTTGAAGAAATGAGACAAGTTGTGGAAGTTTCTTTCTTTCTTT